TGGCGGGTCCGGGCTGGGGATTCGAACCCGCCACCTTAGGTGTACACGGCTGGCGCCTTAGCCGGATGAGCTATAGGCGCCGAGCCATGAACTTACTCTTAAACTAGACTCTAGAGGAAATAGTAGAGGTAGGCTGTTAGAATACTGCCTACCCCCAGGATGAAAAGAATACTGTCCCTCAAACTAATGTACCAGGTTTCTCTGACCCTGCAAAAGGCCAAAAGAGGGAGGGAGACTAGAGATAGTTACTTTAGCCAAGAAAGATAAAGAATTCCAGGTTATCTGCCTGTACTTCACAGGCCCACAGGGCAAGAAACTGTTCTGCCTGTTAACAATTGCAGGATTCTGTAACAACCAAATCAAAGCCCAAAAGAAGCAGCAAAGAAAAATACCAAGGGGCCCAAGTAAGATAAGGTAGTGCAACCTTATCAGTGAGCTAGAATTTGTAAAGAAGATGAAAGTCTGAATTATAAAAATAAGGACTTAAAAGACTTCCAAGTCCTTAGACTTCCTAAAGTTAAAATACATTATTTTCTAAGAAATTTCAGGAGATAAATTAAAAGAGAGGACAATCCTTGTTGAGATTTGATTTAGTGATATAAAAGTCAAATGCAAAAGATATTCCCAGTTGTAACAGGAATTCTAGAAGAAAAGGAATAGATAAGGCCATAAATTAGAAGAAAATTTCTCTTAAATAAAGACGGAGTCTATAAACAAAGGATTGACCAAACCCTGTGTTGGAATGGTGATAAAATTTCAAACCCTTCACAACTTTGTAAAATTTCTGAATCTTTTAAGTGAAATCTTGATATGTTAACATGCTTCCCGTGCCCTCCCCACAAATTACCTAATAATCATCATCATCACACTGACACCAGACTCCTATTGTTATAACAGTTAAAATTAGTGAATGATACAAATTTGTGTTACTAGTCTAAATACAGAAATTGGGAATAAGCATTTAAAAACTTTAACAATTCAACAGAGTAATTTATGCCTGTTGAATTAAAAATAAAACATTAGAGTTTATATTTTGTGACTTCAATTTGTTTTTTATCTTTTTTCATGATTCATTTTTCAGGTATTTTTATTATTTTTTATTTTTTTCTTTTGTAGAGATGGGATCTCACTATAATATTCAGACTGGTCTTGAACTCCTGGCTTCAAGTAATCCTCCCTTCTTGGTTTCCCAAAGTGTTGAGATTACAGAGTGAGCCATCATGCGTGGCCTGGTTATTCGTTTCTTTTGCTGTATTCTTCAAAAGTATACACAAAAGTCGGGGGGCAGGGGGAGAATCTGAGCAGCACTAGCTAGAAGATGGGCTCTCAAACAGGGGCAGGGAGAGAGAAAGGAGATTTTATCCCCCGGGAGACATTTGACAATGTGTGAAGACATTTTTGCTTGTTCTGCCTAGGATGAGTGCTGCTAGCTTCTAGTGGTTAAAGAGGCCAAAGATGCTGCCAAAAGTACTTAAACAGCAATAATTAATAGCATGCCTCCACCACCATAACAAAAAAATTATGTGATTCAAAATGTCAATAGTGCCAAGGTTCACAAACTCTGAAATAGCATTTAAAAACTACCAGAAGAAATCTTAATATCACTAAGATATACATATACTTCACCTGACAAGATGAAAACGAACAAATGACTGTATAAAGGGCCACTTATCATTCTCACTTTTATACACACAGAAACTGAGGCTTAGAGGTTAAGAACATGGTCCAAATTTAACAAAGGAGAACCCACTCAACACACATTACACACAAAAAAAGTAGTGTACAACTCAGCCTATTTTCCCTTCTGACAATCTAAGGACACTCTTAACATTCAGCAGTAAGTTCACTTAACATTTGTTCAGCTTAGATAATGTTCAAAGTACTTCCATATATACGAGGTCAAACAATCAAATTCAGGAACTCATTCTAAAAAGTGCTACATTATCTTACACTACCATGACCTTTTAAGTATTCCCCTTGGCCATCTGATGACCATAATGATATTCATCAATGTAGTATGAGTTTATGAACTTAACTGTCAGACCACTTACTATTACAGCTCTTATGGCCATTCCAGAAAAAAAGTTCCAAAACTGCTTTGAAGGGTGGACTAGGTGCTGATGTCAGTGCATAGCTTCCCAAGGGGTGTACTGCAAAGGTGACTGAAGCGATATTCAGTGGAGATACCTAGGACTTTTTCTAGGGCTAGTTCCCAAACTTAGTTTTCTGACCTATTTTCCCCTTGTACATTTACTTACAGCACTACCCTTAAAAAATTAGAGGAAGGTGTTCTTAGCCCTGCTTTACAGATGGTAAAACTATGTCTAAGATAGGTTACTAAACTGTCCATAGTCCTTCAGTAAATCTGCTCAACTCTAACTGAATACACAGATCTTATTCCTATTGCAACGTAGGTAAATCCATTTTCTTTCAAGACAAATCTTACTTGGCTGCCCTAAGTAGAGTGCTGAGGCATCCTAGCTCACAGTAACCTCAAACTTATGGGCTCAAGCAATATTCTTGCTTCAATATCCCAAGTAGTTGGGACTACAGGCACAGGACACAATGCCGGGGCTACTTTTAGAGATGGGTCTCGCTCTTGCTCAGGTTGGTCCCCAACTCCTGAGCTCAAGTAATCCGCCTGCCTAGGCCTCCCAAGGTGCTAGGAATACAGGCGTGAGCCATGGCGCGTGGCCCCATTTTCATTTTTACAGTGATCTGTCATCTAAGTGCTAATGATTCCTAAATCACAAACTCTAATTTTGGTCTTTTCTCTGTACCTCAAACCTACCTACTATATTCAACAACTCTCAACCCTCTTATAAATCCTAAAGTCATCTAAACATGAACACATAATCTCGTACCAAGCTCGTTCCTCCTCCTTTAATCCTTTTCACTTTTACCCACTCACTAGTGAGTGTGGATTGTCCACAGCCCCGCAGAAAACACGTCATTACACAAATAGGTGTCTAATATCACTTGCAATAAATTCTCTATTCAAGTCACTCGCGGGTGGCAGGAACCTACGATAATATTTGACATTAACAGAAAGACTGGGGAAGGCAACAGCAAGAAAAGCGTACAGCAGTTGGAGAGTTCTTGTCGTGGGAGGGATCATGGTTCTCCCATTTAGCGATGACTGACCAGCCTAAGATGAATCGGTTCAATGCCTCTTCAGTGCATATCCCTAAACCCCCTCCCCCACTGCTTTTAGATGAAATGCAGTTTTTCAAGATTATTACTACTCTTTGCCCTCTTACGGTGCACGTCCTGCCTAAATAATTCAGAAGAACCTCCCGCGTGTTCCGGGTGGGCAGATCTGTCCTGCGCCTCTGACCTTGGGCTGTCCCGGCCAGACTGAGGGCTCGGAACCCCCCGGCTTCCCTGCCTCCTCCGCCTCCCCAGTTTGTCCTCAGAGAGAATACTAACAGTTTTGTGTATTGGATCTCTGGCAAACTTCAAGGCCTGGAAGTGCTAAGGTCAGCGGTGACCTCGGGCCAGGCCAGGAAGGTGCCCGAGAAATTGGGCTGCCTATATTTCCTAGTAGAGCAGAGGTGATAGGCAGCCTGGGCCTCGTAAGGACACCCAGAACTGAAATCCCCAGAGGCCACCCTTGTCTAACTACCCTCCCAGTCACCTTGCACTCAGTCCCGAGCTGCCAAAGCCACCGCCGCCGCCACCGTTCTACTTCCGGCCCTGGCTCCGCCCCCACCCGCCATCGCTATGCATTATGGGCCGCCGTTTCAGTCGGTCGATGCTCACCGGACAGGAAGCGTCCCGGAGGTAGTCTGCGAGCGGACGGCTGTAGGTGAGACAGAGGCCAAACAGGAGGAGGAAGTGGAGGGTAAGTGCTTCCGGGTCCCCTGGCGAAGCCTCCGCCATCTTTCCTCTGCCTAACTTGACCCGCTCTCTTTTTCCCTTTGGGAAACCGTGCTCAGTACGCATGCGCACCTTGACCGGCCTTTCCCCTAGTTCAAGCTCCCCTCAGAGTCAGCGTCCTGTTCCTTAGAGCTGTTGAGGTGTACGAATGTGCTGGGAAAAGTGAGACTGTGTAAAACAAAGCGGACTGGGGCGTTGTGCTTCCTTGAACCGCGTGAGCCGCCGTTGCCTTGGGCGTTTGTTTCGCGCACCCTGCTGGGAGTTGTAGTCCTGGACCCGGGGGTGCCTGGGAGGCGGGAGGGGGGTTGGGGTTTCTCAGCGCCGATTCCGCGGGAAGGGCCCCGGGGCCTCACACTTGGAGTCGTGGGAGCAGCAGGTCTTACCCGGAGAGACGCTGCACGTGGAGCCCGCGCCGCAGCCGTTCTCAGGCGGCTCTGGAGCGCGGGCGGGGGCGACGGGGCCGATTCCGGAGCGGGTGAGTGCGGCCGCGGGGGAGGAGGGCGGCGCGGGCCCGCGCGGGCCGGCCTCGTTCCGGGGCCTGTCCCCCCACAGCGGCCCCCCCGCGGCCGCCTCTGTGTTTTGTTTCCGCTGGTCCCCGGCGCTGTGACTCCCATTTCCGTTCGTGGAGACTTGAGGGAGCTGGGTGGGGAGGGGCGGGAGAGGCTGCGGGGAGCGAAGGGGAGGGGCGGGGGGCGAGCGGCGTGGAGCCCCCGGGGACCGCGCGCCTGGGGCCCGGGCGGTGCGTGGCGCCTCCCGCCCCTCCCTCGGCGCCCTGCCGGCTCCTGGCGGGTCCCAAGCCCGTGGCTGCCCTTGGTCTTCGCAGTCTGCATGTGCTCCTGCCGAAGATGCAAAATCAGTCTCGGCGCCCAACTCAGTGATCCACTCACTTCAGATCCAATGGTCTTTCCAGATTTGTCTCACAGTTGCACCAAAACCATTTATTAACGTATACAGTACCCATCTGTTTTTGTTTTTTTTTTTTTTGAGCGAGCAGTAAACCAAGGAGGTAACATGGGTTAATACAGTCTGCCAACTTTTAAAGTTTTTTGTGTATTAGGAGATAAGCCATGTGTGCGTCTTTGGATTTTAAGATCCCAGTTTGATTAGGTTGAAGGAAAGAGGACACTGCCTAACACTGCATTGCAAGATGACGAGTGGTAATTTAGAAATAAAATGAGTGGGTTATACGGATAATACTATCCGTATAGTATTGAGAAGGATGCTCTTGACTGAAGTGATAACATTCATAGGCACTCTAAGTGAGTACCCTCTAAGGGTTTGATTAGGCTTTTCAAGTTTAATGATTTTTAAACTTAACCCTAGACAGAGTGGTCACTTTTTACCTAGATTATATATACAAGAGCATGTCATGAAGGGTACATGGTCAGGGAATAACAAAATATATAAGGACATAGTTGTTAAATTGAAGCATGTTATTAAACCATGCGCTAAATTAAAACTGTTAACCTGTCTTCCTCTACTCTTTATAAAACTACAAACCTTCAAGAAAATTGGGGGGGGGGCAATAGTAAGCACTCAAACCCTGCCCCTGGGAGTCACCAACTGTTAACCTTTCACCATACTTGCACCACACACAGAGGTTTATGTGCTGTACTTTTTCTTTACTATTGACAGTATTTCCTAATGTACTTAAAAGCATTTATTAGCTTGGGAAAATGGACAACTGATTATGCAGGTACCCCAGACTGCACTAATATTTGTTTATCCTGTATTGGGAAAAAGTGCCCTAAATTCTGTAAACTAATAATGCATTCCAGGGAAGAACAACAATCTTCAAAGAGACTGTTAAACAGTTCTGTGTTTTCAAAAACACTAGCATTTCCCAGAATTCCTAATTACATTTAAGTTTAGTTTGTACCAATCTTGTGAAAGGTTCTGAACCCCAGGTTAGATTCAATCTAGGAAAACCAAAATGTTCATGAAAAAATGGGATGTTCTATGCATTTATGACAGAGGCAGGCAGCCCTTAGGTGAGAAACTAAGCAATAGTATTGACATGGAATCTTGAGGAATTGATTCCAGAAGAAGAGCTAACACCCCCCCACCCACCCACACACACACCATAACTGATAATGAAAGATTTGGACTGTTTCCCAAATCTCTGCATTGCTTCTCTAGGCTAAGTTTAGAGAACTGAAAGGAAGATCAATTAAGAGACTATGAATAGCATGGTTTTTTTTGCCAGAAGGGTATGGGCTCTATTTTTTTCTCTGTTTGGCACTTTTTAGGGACTGGCCTATAACTTTGGAAAATCATAGCATTAATTCCTTTTTGACAACTTTATTATAGTGCTTATATCAGGGAAGCCCTAGGTATCTCTGCTGATAAGTTATTAAGGCCATTTCTCAGCCTCGGCTACTTCATGTACTTTTTTCTTTACTGGTGTTCTCAGAGCATGTACATGTTTTCTAATCTTTTTTTTAGAAAATTGGGTATGGAGATGGAAATGGACCTCCTTATAAGCCCTGAAAACTGAAGGTGTTTAAAGTGCTATTCTGCTATAAATCTATTCTCACTTTTTTCTGTACAGAACAGTTTTTATAATTTATTTATTTTGTGTGGACATTATTTCTTTGTTTCTAACTGGTATTAAAATACCACTGTGTACTTTTTTTACATTTTATTTTATGGACACTTTTTCACCATGGGTGCTGGGGTTAGGTCCAGTTTCAGCTGTAGCCAACAAAGCTGCCTGGAACATCCTATTATCAATTAGTCTGTGAATTTCTTTGGAATGCTTATCTAGGGGCAAAATACTTGGGTCATAGTTATAAGCGTGATTGATTTGAGTGAGAGCTGCTGAATTTTTTCCAGAATATCCAGACCTGTCCCATGTCCCCAAGATCCTTACTTTTGTCATTTATCTTTCTAACTTTTGCCACATACACGCAGTATAAAGTTTGTAGTTTCCATTTATTAGTCATTGTCATTTGGGGGTATTGGAAATAGTTTCCCATTCTGTAGGTGTTGAACATAAATCTTAATTTTTATGTAATTAAGTCCATCAGTTTTTCTCCTTATGCTTTCTGGTTTTGGAATATTATTTAAGAAATACTGATACGTCTTTAGGCCACAAAGAAGTTGCCACCATTTTCTTCCATTAGGTTTATATTTTACCTTTTATATTTATGCCTTCATGGCATCTGAAGTCCATTTTATATGGTGTGAATAACATTCATTTATTCGACATATAACTTGGTGAAGGTAGGCACTGTTGAAAAGTACTTCATCTATATCTGTGAACAAATATCCCTGCTTTTGTGAAGCTTATATTGTTCTACAAGATAGGTCCCTACTGAGCTACCACTTGTTTTGTGCTTTTATTTAGCACTCCAGATGAATTCCACAATTTTACACATAGCACCAGTTAAGGAATAGGCTTTATTAGGGAAAGGGAAGACTTCTTAGGTCAGCATCAGCAAGAAAAGAAAACAAATGTTATTTCATCTTTTCATCATTGCAAGAGGAAACCTGCTAGACCCTAGGTGATCCGCTAGACTTGCACAGTCTATTCCAGTGGATAATCTTACCCTCTTACTATTGATCCTTATAGGACAAGTGTGAAAGCAATCTTGATAACATTGGGAAAAATCAGACAATTTTTTGTACCATGTAGTCTAGATATGGGTGCCATGTATAGACTTAAGTTGTCAGAAAATGAGCTTTGTAGCTGTTAGAGATGTTGAGACCTGAGGAGAGTTACAGCCTTTTCTTAAGTGGAAAGGGAGACTATTAGTTTCATGTTGCTGCTGCAAATTTAGTGGCTTAAAAACACCAGCTTATTATTTTACAGTATAGCTATCAGAATTGTGAAATGGGTCCCTTCTGGATTAAAACTGGGTGTTGACAGGGCTGCACTTAGGGCCTCTAAAGGGAGAATCTGCCCCTTGTCTAACTTTTATGACAGAAGCTACCTGTGTTCTTACCTTATGGCTTCTTTCCTCCATCTTCAAAGCCAGTCTTTACAGTGAATCGCTGGCTCTCTTCCAGTTTTCTCTTCCCCCTTTATGATTTTGTTTGGCACACTTGATAATCGGATAATCTTTATATTTTAAGGTCAGTTGATTAGTAACCTTAATTCCATTTGCAACTTTAATTCCCCTTGGCCATGCACCTTATTCACAGTTCTAGGTCATTATTCTACCTACCACAGAGACCTTCACCCCTTGAAAAGTTGAGGTCCTTCCTACTTCAAGAAGGTAGGGGAAGTCTCCAGTTTAGACAAACCAATTTAAGTTCCTTTGGTCAATTTTGGACAATTTTGTACTTTGTTAATGATCCAAAAATGGAAGAAAGACAGTAAATATACTAAATTAATACTATAGTATGCTAAAGTGTTATGAAAAGTAAAAGGAGTGAGGAAGAGAGATTACAGAATTCACTGGGAGGGGGTGGTCAGGAAGAGAGACTTCAAAGAGGTAAGGGATTTAGCCAAGAAGACATTTTGGGGAATTAGGTTCCAGACAGACTAAACAGTGAGAGCAAAGGCCTTGGGCAGAAAGACGCAAGGACAAGCAAGCAGGCTAGTGTGGGAGAGGGAGCTAATGATAATGTGGGGGTTGAGGGGAGATTACCTAGGGCCTCATTGGCCTTTGTGAAGTCTTTGGCTTTTACTGTATCTGTCCTATCACAGAAGTGCCACATAGTCTTGCTTCAGTTTTAGAAAGGATCACACTGGCTGTTGCACTGACCAAGAATAGACTGTAGAGGGGCAAGGGCAGGCACAGGGAATCCTGCTAGGAGGCTGTCACAGTGCTTCAGGTAAGAGAAGTTGGTGGCTCTCACATATGTACTAGTATATGCAGTACAGAGCCTGTCTTTGAACAAACCTTGGTTTGGTCCCACCAAACTTAGTTTGGGTAGAATAATGTATACTTAGGTTGATGACACCTAGAGTGTGACATAGAGCCACAGGTGATTTATTTAGCCTCACTGACTTCTGAGTAGTGTTCATATGAGGGTGGGCTCAAAACAAGATTGCCCTGTGTAAAGCATTTGAATACAGTGCCTGATGCTCAGTAAATAATGGCTATTAATAGGAATGAATATGTGAATTGTTCATTTTGTCAAATCATGTAAGTGGGAACACAGACTACTTTGTAAATGTTAGAATACTGAATTTAGTGGAATATTACCTATAACTCCAAGATGTGCCATTTTAGTTGTAGTAACATATACAAAAAATTATTCTGAAAGTGCTGTGGCATGAAATGGCATAAAATGCCTTGACTTGCAGGAGGTAGGTAGTAGTAACTGAACGTGGGACTTAACAACATTAACAGTTGGGGAATGACCACAAAGAAATACTAATATATGTAACTATTTTATGCATTACTTTGCAGTTTTAAAATTATAATGCTTTCATATTAATGGTCATTTAAAGTAACAGGTAATAAAGTGAAGTAGTGGAATATTATTCAGATGTGGAAAATAAAACCACATCTGAAAAATAAATCATTAAAAAATTCTAGTGTGTATAATGAGAGAAATGATGTGCATATCTATTTGTTATTTTGCTGTTTCATAGTATTTCAATTGAATTTATGAGATGGAATTTGTAACAAAAATCCTAGCTATAATTAATGCATATATATATGCACACGTGTATATATAGTGTTGCACTATATATATCAGTGCAATGCTTTTCAGTAAATTCTGGTAGTAAGATACAGCTTGTAGCTGAACAATTGTAGCTCATTTCCATGTTAAGCTTCAGTTTTGGGTCTGTTATTGAGAACAAGAGTGTCTTTAAAATAGTTTCCAGTTGATTTTGAAGTAACTTGAATTCATCTTTCTGAGGAGGGCATAAAAATAGTCCAGTAAGTCCAATAGAATGATGAAATTGTCATGTCAGGCTAATAAGCACCAGTTAAACAGAAGCTAGCTTATAAGTGTCATTTGCGGTTTCCTTTTACATGAGAAGATTACTGCTTCCTCTTTAGCATCCCCTATGCTTTTATTTGAATTGGGAGTCTCTTTGTGTATCATTTTTGTTTATACAGATAATTTTAAAATCTCTTGAAATTTAATTCCTACAGGACTGATCTCCTGAAATACTTCAACCATGACTAAAAGAGAAGCAGAAGAGCTTATAGAAATTGAGATTGATGGAACAGAGAAACCAGAGTGCACAGAAGAAAGGTCAGTGTTGTCTGAACTTTTCTTTTTTTAAATTTTGTTCTTCTGAGACAGGGTTTCTCTGTTGCCTGACCTAGCATGCGGTAGCATAATTCACCACAACCTCAGACTTCTAGGTTCAGGTGATCCTTGTATCTCAGCCTCCCAAGTAGCTGGAACGATAGGCATGGTTCACCACACCTGGGTAATTTTTGTATTTTTTGTAAAGATAGGGTCTTGATATTTTGCTCACCTTGGTTATTTTTAAAATATCAGTATACCTAATTAAAATCAAGCCATAGTTCTTATGGGCTTTTAAAAATTTGATCTCAGGGTGTGGCACCCTTAGCTCAGTGGTTAGGGCACCGTCCACATGCATTGGGGCTGGTGAGTTTGAACCTAGGCCAGCTAAACAACAATGACAACAAGAACAACAAAAATAACCAGACATTGTGGCAGGCACCTGTAGTCCCAGCTACTTGGGAGGCTGAAGCAACAGAATTACTTAAGCCCAAGAGTTTGAGATTGTTGTGAGCTGTGACACCACGGCACTCTACCAAGGATGATGTAGTGAGACTCTGTCTCAAAAAGAAGAAAAAAAATTTGATTTTAGCATTTTGGGGGATAATATATTGCTTTTTTGCTTCTAATTTAACGGGTTTATTATAGCTGAGTGGGAAAGTTAGTTATAAACTAAAGGCAGTAATAAGCATAACTGGTAATGGTAAAGTAATCGATTGTAATAGTTTTTCCCCTTGGGGAGCACTACTTGATTCTTTTTTCAGAAGAAGTTTAATTCAACCTGAAATAATTTTACAAATATTTGTTAAGTAGCTGTTACAAACTAGTAACCGACAGGAATATATAAATAAATGAGTTTCTCATTTCTAGAGGTTACATTGTATTTAAGGAGATACACAGGTAAATGAGTTATTTTCACAGTACTAAGCATTAAGTTTGGTAAAAGGTGTTAATTAGAATAATAACAGAATCTTTCTTATTTGGAAGAAGAGCAGTAGTAATGAGTTCAGAATCCAAAGAGCAATATGGGTAGAAATGGAGATTTAGGAGTCAGCAAAAAGATTAAGGAAGATCTTTATTTTACACTATAAAGCAGGTGATAAGATAATATGCTAAAAGTAAAAAGAACTAAAAATTAATAGATAATCTCTATAAAGTAACAATGGTATAGAACAACTACAGTGGAACTGAATAAGGTTAAATAGGATAGTGAATATTGAAAGTACAGCTACAGTGGCTCAGCGCCTGTGGCTCAAGCGGCTAAGGCGCCAGCCACATACACCTAAGGTGGCAGGTTCGAATCCAGCCCGGGCCCGCCAAACAACAATGATGGCTGCAACCAAAAAAATAGCCAGGCATTGTGGCAGGTGCCTGTAGTCCCAGCTACTTGGGAGGCTGAGACAGGAGACTCGCTTGAGCTAGGAGTTGGAGGTTGCTGTGAGCTGTAATGCCACGGCACTCTACCCAGGGCGACAGCTTGAGGCTCTGTCTCAAAAAAAAAAAGAAAGTACAGCTACAATTTAAAACCTTAAGTTTTTAGCGTTTTTAACTTGTTTGAGTATCCTATATTTTTCTAATGAAGAAAGAATAGAGAGAATGTATGCATTTCTTAATTTTCATATTACCTTGTTTCCCTAAAAATAAGACCTACCCCCAAAATAAGCCCTAACAGGATTTCTATGCATTTGTTAAATATAAGCTGTAACCTGATAATAAGACCTAGTGATGGGCATGGCTATGCAGCGTATCTGCATAGCTATGCCATGCTTTTCAGTACGGAGAGGAAGACATTCCCTGAAAATAAGCCCTAGTGTGTCTTGAGAAAAAATAAATATAAGACAGTGTCTTATTTTGAGGGAAACACCATATATGAATATATGAAAATATATATGTGTGTGTGTGTATATATATGGTGTATGTGTATATATATATAAATAAAAAACATATTACCTCAAAACTTAGCTGATTAAAATATCCAACATTTATTTATCATAAATAGTTAAGAAACTGGGAGCAGCTTATCTGGGTGGTTCTGGCTCAGAGTATTTCATAAGCTTACATGTTAGTGAAGCTGTCAGCCTGGGCTATTGTTATCTGAAGACTTGACTTGGGCTAGGGTATTTGCTTTCAAGATCACTTTGAGACTGTTAGCAGGATGCCTCAGTTCTTTATCACATGGGTCTCTCCTCTGGGGCTGATCATGGCATGGCAGCTGGTTTCCTCTAAAGCAAATGTTTCAAGAGACATAGAGTGCCAACATGAAAGCCGGCACTGTCTTTTAAAATAACTTAATGATCACACAATCCAGCCCTGGCATAATGTAGGAGAAAACTATAAAGGTATGAATATGAGGAAAATCACCAAGACCTTTCTTGGAGCCTAGCATGAGTATATTTATTTTTATTTTTTATTTTTTTTAATTATTTTTTTTTTTGAGACAGAGCCTCAAGCTGTCCCCCTGGGTAGTGTGCTGTGGCATCACAGCTCACAGCAACCTCCAACTTCTGGGCTCAAGTGAGTCTCCTGCCTCAGCCTCCCAAGTAGCTGGGACCATAGGTGCCCACCACAACACCTGGCTATTTTTTTGTTGCAGCCGTCATTGCTGTTTGGCGAGCCCAGGCTGGATTTGAACCCGCCACCTTAGGTGTATGTGGCTGGTGCCTTAGCCGCTTGAGCCACAGGCACCAAGCCAGTATACTTATTTTTATACACATATACAAATGACCCACAAAGCCAAAAATATTTACTGTCTAGGCCTTTGCAGATAGTTTAGGTAAGAGGTCAGTAGTTACTATATTGACATGTGAAAAAGGCAGTAGTTCTATCCACCTGTAGCAGATTGTTGCTGCATGGGAATTTAGACCCAGTGATGTGAAATCCTCCATATTTTTTTCAAGAAAAATTGGTAATCCAGATTTTTATATGACTTCTTCCAAGGTTTAAATGATAGCATCAAAAATTTTAAACGTGTTTAGCTAACTTCTGTGGTTCATCTTGCAAGGGTACAAGTGAATCTTT